AAATTTTCACTATCAGGCCTTACTCTATGACCTTGAGTAAATTACTCAGGTTTTCTAGGGCTGAATTTTCCCATTTGAAAATTATCAATTCTCTTTTTCCATTTCATATTACCCCATAACCACCCACTTTTCTTCATCTTCAACTTCAAAGTTTGCCACAAAGATAAATTAGAGACTAGATAGAAAAGTATTTTAGAAGAAAAGTACCATAGGAGTCTTAGCAGCAACAAAAGAATGTCCCACTATTGATGGAAATACAGTCAATGATCAGCAAACTGAGTTAATAGGAAAATAGGAACATGTATTATTCAAAATCACATTTGTGACTCATGCCTGTAATCCCAGTACTTTGGGAGGCCAGAGGAGGAGGATTTTTTGAGGCTAAGAGTTTGAGACCAGCCTGGGCAACATAGTGAGACCCCATCTCTACAAAAAATAAGAAAAATTAGTTGTGCATGGTGATACAATGCCTGTAGTCCCAGCTACTCAGGAGGCTGAGGCAGGACATCACTTGAGCCTAGGAGTTAGAGGCTGCAATGAACTATGATCGTGCCACATGCCATTGTACTCCAGCCTGGGTGACAGAGCAAGACCTTGTCTCTTAAAAAAAAAATTCTAAAAAAGCCATAAAATCACATTTAGTTTTAGAAAATAGCTAGAAGGACAGAGTGAACCATTCATAAATGCTTCCAGACCCCCACATTTAGCCTCTCTACCAATAGTTTTCTGATCTTGCTTTTAGCTTTCCATCACTTTCAGTGGCCAAGGAAAGTGGTGAGCATTGAATATATAATGCCAGAAGTTGGAAATATAAACTGGATGATATACATTACATAAACTCATTGTTTCTAAAAATTTAGGCCACTGTAAACTGTTAATTCTCCCTTGAAAACTGCAAAATAAACACAGGTTACTCCCAAATTTTGGGGCATGCTGGAGTTGCCTAACTTAGGTTCCAGATACAGTTGGATGGATCTCTTTAGTTCTAATAAATGGGCATGATGATAGACGTTTTCACAGGCTAGCACAATGTCAAGTTAATAACAGTTTTGTGAGGTGGTGGGTAACAACTGTCTGGGAAAGTCCTTAGGCTTAAACAGCTAGTATGTAGGCTTGAGGAGGTATTTCCAGGAGCAGAACAGAAACAGAACAAAGTATAACCTGAGATCTTGGGGGAGTGAGAGTGACATAGAGGATCTAGATAATACATCAATATGAGGGAGATAAAGAGATTTCCTGGGGACGAATTCTGTATTAAGCTGTTTTATACATACACCCATGCAGACACATACACACACATCATCCCCATCACATATGGTAAATCTACTACTTATATTGATTTGAAAGAAGCTTCCTCATATTTATACAGGAAACCACCAAAAACTGTTTAAATACTTAAAGTGTGGGTAAAAAAAAAATAAAATACTCATTCAACCCCCCACCCCCTTGTTAGCTTTCCCAACATGTCAGTAAGTACCTTGTATAAGAGCAAGAAATAGAAAAGGAAAGTTGTGGCCAAGTGGCAAAAGTATGTTAGGCCAGGTTAAGATGGAAGCAAGAAGAAAGGTTTCTTTCCGCAAAGCTAGGGTCAGCAAACTATCACCTGTGGGTTAAATACTGCAACAAACTAGTTTTATAAATAAAGTTTTATTGGAACATAGTCATGCTCATTCATTTACATATTGTCTACTAGCTTTGTCTTTACAACTGAGTAGTGGCCACAGAGATCCTATGATCTGCAAAGCCAGAAATATTTACTATCTGGCCCTGTAGAACAAAAGTTTACTGACCCCTGCCTTGAAGGGTCAAAGAAGGAAAGTATAGTGTTTATAGGAACTGGGAGAAATGCTGGATAAGGAGGAATAACAAGGTTTAAGGTAGAGAGCAAGAGCCAGAATCATTAGCAGCATAATATATGCATCTTTGGAGGGAGGGTACTCTGTCCAATACAAAGGAAGTTAAGGCTGGGCGTGGTGGCTCACGCTTGTAATCCTAGCACTCTGGGAGGCCGAGGCGGGCGGATTGCTCAAGGTCAGGAGTTCAAAACCAGCCTGAGCAAGACCCTGTCTCTACTATAAAAATAGAAAGAAATTAATTGGCCAACTAATATATATATATATAAAATTAGCCAGGCATGGTGGCGCATGCCTGTAGTCCCAGCTACTCGGGAGGCTGAGGCAGTAGGATTGCTTGAGCCCAGGAGTTTGAGGTTGCTGTGAGCTAGGCTGACGCCACGGCACTCACTCTAGCCTGGGCAACAAGTGAGACTCTGTCTCAAAAAAAAAAAAACAAAAACAAAAAACAAAGGAAGTTAACAGCTCAGTTTCTGATCTTAAGATTAATAAATAAGTAAATAGAGTATATTACCTTGGTGTAGATATAAAGAGAAGAGAGGGAGGAGGGAGTCAATAACTGCATTTTTTTGTTTTGTTTTTTTGAGACAGAGTCTCAATCCGTTGCCTGGGCTAGAGTGCTGTGGCATCAGCCTAGCTTGCAGCAACCTCAAACTCCTGGGCTCAAGCAATCCTCCTGCCTCACCCTCCCAAGTAGCTGGGACTACAGGCATGCCACACTGTGCTGGCTAATTTTTTCTATTTTTAGTTGTTTGGCTAATTTCTTTCTATTCATAGTAGAAACGGAGCCTCACTCTTGCTCAGGCTGGTCTCAAACTCCTGAGCTCAAGCAATCCTCCCACCTCGGCCTCTCAAAGTGCTAGGATTACAGGTGTGAGCCACTGCGCCTGGTCAATAATTGCATATTTACACAGGAATTTCTGGTGATCAGAGAAGCCTTTCTGGAAAGTGTAGGATTTGCTAGGACTGCTTGAACAAAGAAAAGTGTAAGGGTGTGGCAAGACCAGTTCAAAATTTATTTCTTTTTTCCCTGAGTTTGTCTAATGTTCTTTTTTTTTTTTTTTTTTAGTTGTGGTAAAAAACAAATTTACCACAACTAAATTTGGTACTAAATTTGGTATCAATTATTTTTTACCAAACTAAAAAAAATACATACATAAAATGTACCATTTTAACTATTTTTAAGTATACAGCTCAGTGGCAGTAAGTAGATTCACATGGTTGTGCAACCATACCTAAGATTGTTTTTTTTTTTTTGAGACAGAATCTTGCTTTGTTGCCCAGGTTAGAGTGAGTGCCTTGGCATCAGCCTAGCTCACAGCAACCTCAAACTCCTGGGCTTAAGCGATCCTGCTGCCTCAGCCTCCCGAGTAGCTGGGACTACAGGCATGCGCGACCATGCCCGGCTAATTTTTTTCTATATATATTAGTTTGCCAATTAATTTCTTTCTATTTATAGTAGAGACAGGGTCTCGCTTTTGCTCAGGCTGGTTTCGGACTCCTGACCTGGAGCAATCCGCCCGCCCCCGCCTCCCAGAGTGCTAGGATTACAGGCGTGAGCCACTGCGCCCGGCCCCCTAAAATTGTTTTAATATGAGATGAAAACAGAAGCTGTTTAGAGATCCCACATTGTCTAGTGATCAGGAAATAATAATAATAATAATAAAAGTGAAGCTGTTTAGGGAGAAACAGGGAAAGAAGAATGCAATGGTTAGGACATAAAGTCACAACACCTATTTTTAGTGACAGGTGGTGGAGGGATGAGGAAAGGGACAGGGATGGACATATACACCTGTTGATATACTGTTGTATTGTTGGTCACCAGGAAAACAATAGCACTGGGCCCCTTGCTGCCTATCCATGGTGCTTCTAAAGGCTATCATGAGTCAGTCCATCTGTTTCCCTGGATCAAGAGGAGATTATCTGTTCAAATTTACCAACATCAGGAATGCAGTGGTGCTCTCAACACCCTTTTGGTTTCTCTAGGATGAGCTCTTCTGCTTCTTTACTAGGGCACAGGGAGGCTCAATAGTGCCCTCTGCTGATCAACACCCAGATGACAAACTCTCACTTCCGCTTCTACAGTTCCTTTGCTAGACTTCTCCAAAGCTAGCTGGAAAAATTCTTAGGCCATTAAGATAGAGCTTACTGAGAGTGAGAACCCTACTCTTTCTTCTCTATTCCTGGAGGAAAAATCAAAGCATACAGATCACTCTACTGAGAAAATTATTGTCTAAGTTCTTTCTTCTAAATAGTCTCATTGTTCAGTATTTCCAAAAAGAGATAAGAAAACTGAGCCTCTGGAGGGAGTGTCCTTAGAACCAGACATCAAGGGCAGTAACTGTCTTGCCTACTATTTCTTTCAGGAAGTAGCATTGTAGGATTCTTAATTCTTTTTTTTTTTTTTTTTTTTTTGAGACAGAGTCTCACTTTATTGCCCAGGCTAGAGTGAGTGCCGTGGCGTCAACCTAGCTCACAGCAACCTCAACTCCTGGGTCAAGCAATCCTGCTGCCTCAGCCTTCGAGTAGCTGGGACTACAGGCATGTGCCACCCATGCATGGCTAATTTTTCTATATTTTTAGTTGGCCAATTAATTTCTTTCTATTTATAGTAGAGACAGGTCTCACAATTGCTTAGGCTGGTTTGAACTCCTGACCTGAGCGATCCACCCACTCGGCCTCCCAGTGTGCTAGGATTACAGGCATGAGCCACCATGCCAGGATTCTTAATTCTAAGCCCTTTTGTTTGTTTTTTAGAGTCTCACTCTGTTGCTGGGGCTAGAATGCTGAGGCATCAGCCTAGCTCACAGCAACCTCAAACTCCTGGGCTTAAGTGATCCTCCTGCCTCAGCCTCCTAAGCAGTGGGACTACAGACACATGCCACCGCACCAGCTAATTTTTCTATTTTTGAGATAGGGTCTGACTCTTGTTCAGGCTGGTCCCAAACTCCTCAGCTCAAGCAATCCTCTGCACTGGCCTCCCAGAGTGCTAGGATACAGGTGTGAGCCACTGCGCCCAGCCCTAAGTCCTGTTTACCTTCGGATTTTCAAGGGGAAAAGAGAGCTGTACCAGAGAGATTTATCATTATATTTACTTGGAAGGTGGGAGATAATAAAGAATAAGATAAAATTCTCAAGTCTCTTTACCACTTTGCTCCCAAAAATCCTGCATGGCAGGGCCTGTAGCAGCAGTTTCCAATTCATAAATAGTTCCTTGGAGTACCTGGAAGAAGAAGGGACACTGAAATTGGTCAAAGTTATAATACAGAATGGAGGCTCAATTCCACAGCACAGTTTTTCAGGCACTCATATCTTGCACAAAGATCTGGTAACAGCGGTCTGTAACAGAAGATTCTTCCTGATAAAAAGGTGAGCATATCTTCCAATCTATCTACAAAAGGAATTGTAAGTGATGATTAAATTAAATTATGAAGTCCTGAATCATTCCAAGGTTTGGAGGGGCTGGCAGGTTAGCTAATCGATGGGCATATTGACTCTCAAAAATTACAGGGGAAAAGCTGGTATTTTGAATGGAACACTTAAGTTCATAACTGATGCCAAAGAATGAGAACTTTGCCAATTTGCCCATATTTCACCCCCGTGTTCTTTCACTGACTTGCAGGAGATGAGAGAGACCTACCCGAGCAGACTTTGAAAGGAGGTTGAAGTGGGCTCTTTGAAGATGAGACCCAGAAAGTCCTTTAGGCTTCTTAGAACCTTTTTGGAGTCTGTCGCAGGGTGTGTGGAACAGAGGCTAGTAGGATGTTTATATCATGGAGAGGATACAGAGTGCCTTAATGAGTAAGTGGTGGCAGGCTGGCGTTGGAGTCGGGGTCAACTGCGTGAGTGTAAGGTTAGTTCACTGTAAACGGGCCAACCATTGTGGGCGGCCTGCCTGGCTGGAGGCTAGACCAAGACGCGCCTCCCAGTTACCATGGTAACCCTCCCTCTTCCCAACCCCGCCCCTTTACTGGCCCAGGTAAGGTCGGGAGGGTTGCCTTGGGTGGACTGGAAGGCTCCGCCCTCGCTCCCAGCTGCCGCTCTTCCCTCCACTGGACTGCCTCCCGCCTGCCTGGCAGTGGGAGGGCGCGGCAGCTGTATCGTCACATCCGGGAGGGTGGGTGAGTTCCGGTATTTCAGGGCGGAGCAGGCGGAAGCAGGGGTGAGGAGCGGCTGCAACGCCGAGCGGAGGAGGCAGGAACAGGAGCGCGAGCAGGAGCAGGGTAGGCACCATGGCTGGGATCACCACCATCGAGGCGGTGAAGCGCAAGATCCAGGTTCTGCAACAGCAGGCTGATGATGCAGAGGAGAGAGCCGAGCGCCTCCAGCGGGAAGTGGAGGGAGAAAAGCGGGCCCGGGAACAGGTACGGAGAGGGCGAGGCGCATGAGGGAGGGGCAGGCGCTGGTGCAGCTGGGACCCCAAAAAGGATCCCTTTTGCTGTCCGGCACTGTCCTTTGGAGGCCAGCAGGCTCAGAGATGAAGTTGGAGGCCACAGGATGGGTGGGGCTCAGCCCCGGTAGGACTGCAAGCTGGCGAAGAGGGATCTGAGTGGTCGGGCAAACAGGCTTGACCTTTGAAGGAATTGAGCCTTACGAGAGCCTGGGGAGTGGCTTTCCTCCTCTCTTTTCCCAGGTCATTCATTCAGTCCCTTGGATCCGGGCGCGGCTGGGGGAGGGGCTCAGCGGCTTCTCCCTCCCCCACTTCCCCATGAAGGGTGGGAGAACTTTGCTCTCGCTTGGGGTTTCCGGCCTGAGAGGTGAGAGAGTGGGTGGGTACTTTTCTCGTTTGTGAGGGGCAGGGCCGAACCTTATGTGAAAGGGTGAGAGTTGCAGGGTGGGAACCTCCGGAAAGCCCCCGGCCTGGTCTGCTGGCAGCTTTTCCGCTCCCTCCGCCTGCTCAGGAAATGAGGCAGCAGTCGGCTGAGAGGAAGCGCGGTGCCCTCCCTCCCTAGAGGAGCTTGAGACCACAGGACTGCCTCCTGTGCTCCGGCCTGGGGCCCTTTCCTCTTACGGGGTGCTCTTGCAACTGCTACACCCACTCTCTGAATCGACGTGAAACGAGAGGGGAGGAGATGGTACTTATCTCCTACGTTAGTGCAAGTGTAGGAGCCAACTAACTAAACTTGCCTGGCCCTTCCCATGTTGACCTGGAAGGCAGGAACTTCTGCCAGATTCAGGCCTTTATTGCTGAAGTGTGATCAGTGCAAGCTGAACTGGTTAAGAAAGAACATTTCTTCCAAGCAGAGCTGATAAGCGAGTCCATGGCAGAGAATCAGCTGGCGTGCCAATCTCAAGGTTTCTGATTGACCCGGGCAATGTAGTGGATGGGGACAGAATAATGAGTTCTAGGTGGCTCTAGTGATGTTCCTCTGCTCCTTTCCCAATTATCCCGGTATCTTTTTTTTTTTTAAGGTCAATAAATAATTTGTTCCAACTCAAAGTTGGAACACAAGATGTTGGAGGAATGAATGGTGATTCTAGTAAGGCAGAAGACTTTCCAGGGCCTAGACTACTAGAGTGCAATCTAGTGGGGGGAACTGATCTCCCCTGAGTTGAGGCTTTGGTTTTGGAGGATCTTGAGACTAGAAAGTAGAGTAACTTGTTAAAATTTGAACACCCAGTGAAAGAACTCTTGTGGTTTATTGTGTTCTTTGTTGTTCTTTCCCTTGGTAAGTTTTTTTTTTCTTTTTGGCTGTTCTGATGCGGAGTAACTGAGAATTAATATTTTTGGGAGGGAGAGGAGTGGATTTCGGAAAAAGGTGGGAAGTGGGGGAGGGAGGGGACAGGACCGTTGTCCACCAGGTTAATACTTAAAGATTGTTAGAATACTCACTTATTTTTATAACTGGTCATGGAGATGCTGGGAGCTGCTTGTCTTTCTTAGTCACCTGTTTTGTAGGTGTATTTTTCCCTCTGTTCAGTATGCCAGCAACTTCTAATTATCAACTCAAGTGAGATGGACTGGCTGGGTGACTCTTTATGACTAGTGACACTTTCTCATCTTTTGTTCTGGAGTACAGATAACCTTAAAGGGAAACAGAGGATGGCCAAAGGAATTGGCATTGTGTTGAGCTGTGGAGTCTTAGGCTCAGCATTTAAATATGGGCATCCTAGGAGTATTCTAGGGTGGGTGATGATTTTCCCCCCAGGATTTGGTAATTTTCTTTGTAGGAAAATTTGGCTTCTTTTTTCCGCCCTTGGTGACTTTGAGGTGATAAGCAGCAGAGTGAGCAGCATCAGATGTTTCTTAAACTACTCTCTCACTCATTGCCTGCCAGATTTGCTTATTGCACTGAGACCTAGTGAGGAAGTCCTCAGAATGGGGAAGTAAGGTGATAGTTAAATACTGATGAAAAACCACTATCTTCTACTTTCCAGCTTGTGGGAGCCTAATCTTTTGACTTTCTGCTCTAGTGAACTTTGAACCTTTACAGAGGAGACACCCATGGAAAGGGAGGGGGATGCTTGGGCTACCTGTTATCCTCTTAGGGCATTCTGGAATGTGGGGTTTCTAGGCTCCTCCTTCCTCTGGAACTGGAACTCTCTGATGGTATCACATGGTATTAGTGGGATTGTCATTTCATCATTTTTCTGGTTGTTTTGTGTGAACCTCCAGGCCACCCTTGTTGGGCAGCTGGATGAGTCCAAAACTGAGACACTAGAGTTGTTCCAGGGTCTGTCCTTTTCTGCTCTTGGGCTGGAGATTGACCTTTTATAATATAATACTTTGTCAAATCCACTTTCAGTTTTGCATTTCCTTTGTACTTCTGTTTAAATGTAAACAGATGGCAACATGGTATTTATATGCAGTCTTTTTTTCCTATCTGTTTTTTGTGGTAGTGGTGGTAAAAGTGTACATAACATAAAATTTACTACCGTAACTATTTTTAAATGTACAGTTTACCTTATCTGTTTTTAATACATCTCTCATAACTTCCCCTGATATTTTTATTTTTTATTTTTTTCTAGTCTAAAAAATTTAGAAGTACTATTGAGGAAGTGAGTGGGCTTTGAATGGTAGTTTTGATTCTGACCTTAATCCGAAATTTCTAGTCTTTGAAGGAGGTTAGAATGTTTAACTGTTGTACAGTTCTTCCTTTGACTGTTGTGGGGTCTGGTGGATAAGCAACAGGCTTTATATCACCTTTCTTTGGTTGGGATTTGCTTTCCTGCTGGTTGCCTTGTCTTCTCTGCATATTGGAACACACACAGGGAGAGGCAAATAGCCCTTTGCTCTGAGTGCCTCCAATTAGGCTCCACCTTTGTTTACTCTGGGGCAGATAACTCTACTCCCTTCTAACTTGCCTCCCCCTTGAGGAAATTTAAAGTCCCCCAGGACACAGTATCTGCCTGGATAGATGTATCTGTGATTGCAGTGAAGTCCAGTGGTCCTTTACTCACAGGGCTCAAGCCTAACTTTTCTAGTACTCTTTTTCATTTGAATTTCATCTGTGGCTTTTATCTAAAAAGAGAAACCCCAGCGTGGCAGAATGCCAGATTTAGACTAATCCCCTTCTGTCCTTGGCCCTATTCTGCCTCTGAGCACCAGTGCCCTGTCAGTTTCATGCCTTGAGGGGTGTGGCATACTTAAGGAGTCTCCTTGGAGTGTAGAATGGTAGCATTTAAATCAAATTCATTTCTTTCTTTCTTTTTTTTTTTTTTTGAAACAGAGTCTCACTCTGTTGCCCAGGGTAGAATGCCGTGGCATCAGCCTAGCTCACAGCAACCTCAAACTCCTGGGCTTAAGTGAGCCTACTGCCTCAGCCTTCTGAGTAGGTGGAATTACAGGCATGTGTCACCATGCCCTGCTAATTTTTTCTATATATTTTTAGTTGGCCAATTGATATCTTTCTATTTTTAGTAGAGACGGGGTCTCGCTCTTGCTCAGGCTGGTCTCGAAATCCTGGACTCAAGCAATCCGTCTGCACTGGCCTCCCAGAGTGCTAGGATTATTATAGGCATGAGCCACCGCGCCCAGCCTAAATCAGGTTCATTTCATAGCTGAAGTTGTTGCCAGCCATCTTCTAATGTGACCAGATTGCTGCTGTGTTCCACTCCCATTCCTGGGATCTTTGCTTCCTGGGCAGTGGAAAATCCTATTATTACCTGAAGGGAAGGACCTCAGAGTAGTGTATATCCTCCAAGCTGGGCAGAGATGGACAGACTGAAAGACTGAAACCACCTCTGGGCAGTCATGCTAAAACCTAGGTGATTAGGAAAGCACAAAGCTTAATGTTTCCTAGAACTATGGATAGTGTGGTCTGCAAAAAGTAGCTCTGTTCAATCTCTTGGTACTATGCTATTTGACCTGAAAGGGACAGGCATTGTGCATAGGTTCTGTCTTGAGGGAAAAGTCAGGTTGTCTTCTTTATTCCTTTAAAAAGAGTAATAGATCTTGATTCTATGGGCTTTTGTTTCATTAGAAAGAGAACTGATCCTCTGGGAGGAGAAAAAAAGAGAACAGTGATGTCCTGGTCACCCCCACCCTCAGGGTCTCTGAAGCTTTTGCTAGGACTCCCATCTTGGGTTCTGCTTTTGATACAGGCTTGTTGATGTGCGCATGCTCTTGTGAGGGCACCAAGATGTGTTTTCTCCTCCTCCCTTTTCAGCCTTGCGGAGAATTCTATTGTAAATGCTGATTTGTGGGAGAAACTGCCTGAGCCAGCTTGTTGT